GTTTTGTTCAACAGGATCTTATCAACTCTACTTCAAGTGCTGCAATAAGAAGCCGTCGAATCAGCAAAAACGTTTGTTTTGTAGGGCAGGCTTGTGGGGTACTGCCACTGACATCTTAGGCAGGCTTTGCACAAAGTGCTTCAGCAGGAAAACACCTGCCAAAGACTTCTCATTGGGGGTCAAAGGTTGGGCCGTTTTCAGAAATGTCCCACAACTTCACACCAAGTTTTGGACCTTCAGCATCGAGCTGTTTTGCGGCAGCGACCTTTGGCAGCGACTTTGCACGGGTTGAGAGGTCAACTAGGTGGACGCTGCTGGAACATGTGCAATGCAAAAGGACAAAAAAGAAAGGCAACCTCTTGTTTGTCAAAATGATGCTTCAAGAAATAGTCAAGAAATGCACCATGTTATCAACCAAACGCCTAGCCTAGCTTTGATCCAACCTGCAGAAAAACTGTTCTTTCACTGATCCTACCTGCAGTTCACAGGCTAACAGTTGTAGGCCCCGCACTGGGGAAGTGTGTGGCTGCGACTATGTCACGGCCTGTGACAGGAAGATCAGGCAATGTCCTCTCCCGTCCTAGTTTTTCCATGGACGACTACGCCATGTTACTACATGGAGGTGGCCAGGCAGCACCGAAATCGCGTCCCACAACACGGCCTACAGTCCAGCCAAAAGCAACAGCTTCAAAACCAGGACTTGGACCTGTTCATTTATTTGGTTTCTGAACGAATGCAACATGTTTCAAAACAAATGTTCAGTGTTCAGTGCACATGTATAATTTGACATGCTACATAGAGTCCTGTTGCCCCATTGTTTTTGAATAGGAGTGTCATCCAGTTCTTTGCAGCGTTGTGACATCGATACATCGGGGACCTCTTCTGCTGAGAAAGGCTCAGATGAACCAGATGACCATGATGATGGTGATGATGCTGGTCCCACCAAACGCCCTGCTTCCAAAGAGCCAAAGACCAAAAAGAAGCAAAAGAAAGACGCTGACTTGACTGCCCTTGGGGCCTCCAAAGGCAACAACGATGATGAGGATGATGAAGACCTAGCAGAAGACGAGAGTGCCAAGAAGACTTCCAGAAAGAAGAACAAGACCAAAGACAAGAAGAAATCAAAGAAAGAGCCCAAAGGAAAGAAACGTGCCAAGACTGGAAAGAAACATGGAACCACCGATGCTGATGTTTCTGGTGATGATGTTTCTGAGTCTGGATCTAGCTCAACCACTGTGGTTCCACAGGTTACTGAGGATATGTTGTCAGCAGCATTGCAACGTGCGACACTTGCAGAAAACCGTGCCCGGGGTGTCTCTGACATGATGGAGGCGGGGTTTTGCAGTTTTTGCATGTTCTCGTGGACCTTTAGTTTTGATGTTTTGCATGTTTTGGGGAGTTTGGGGGAATTTTGATGTCTAGCAATGTCCACCGTTACCAAACCAGATCAACCACTTCAATTTGGTAGGAGCCAGTGATCTTCGATGACAAGCTGAACAGGAAAGATGCCAGGATCTTGAGGACTGTCTCACTTCTTCCGTTTCTACATGTTTTTTTTGTGGTAGTGAGGGACATTAATGACACGCTTTTGATAGGATACTGTAACTTGGGGTGGCACTCACATTTGAACATCCACATTATATATGACGGTCACAAGTACTTTTCTTGCCAGCATATATGTTCTTAGTTTGAACAGCTACATTGTGTCTCAAGTCTCGCGCAATCACAATGTCCTGGCAGTGGGTGCTAGCTTATGTTCCGGGGCCCGAGACCCGTTCTGTCATGGAACGCATGGCTCGTCCGCCTTCAAACATGATGGGAAGCCACCCTCCTGCAGCGCCTGCATTGCATCCAGCTCCACCGGTGGACTTAGCAGCTGAGGGTGCACTTCCTGGAACTCATGAGGGTCCACCAGAAGGACTCGGGCAAAAAATGGGTGTGGCCTTTGGCAATGAGACCATGGGTGGGGCGTCAAAGTCAGAAGTGAACCAAACTTCTGTGGCTGAAAATGGAGGGCCAACTTTGCCTATCCATGGAATCCATGGTGCTGAAGTACCAGGTCCTGTTCATGGTCCCCTCAACTCTTGGGCCACGTCTGTTGGAGCTAGCGGAGATGGAAATGACGCTCATGCGCCTCCAGTGGTGGACAGCCCTCCAGAGATGAAGCCCAAAGTCCGAGTTGTTCCACCAAGGTATGAGAATGTTGTGGAGGATGATGGGGATGAGGACTACCAATGGTCCAAGAAAACAAAACAGGCCAGAGGGTCAGAACCATACAGCATTGCGCCAAGGGTGAAGTGCAAGGCAATGCCCGTCCTGAGTCCCATCCTGCAGAGAAACTTGGAGATGGTCAACCTGTCAAGGCGGGTGGTAGCAGCTAGCAAGCATGCCGACGGGACAGAGTGGGACCGATGGACCAAAAAGAAAACTGTGAGCTATGAAGAGAATCAAGACGAGTCATGGCAGCGAGGCGTCAATGACTGGGAAGCTCATGGTCATCATGGCCACGGTGGAAATGAGTGGGGAAATCGGTTTCACGCCTGGTGAGTTTGCGATGCAAGTCCCTTTTGACAAAGTGTCAATATGCCGCAACTCTCTTTTCCACTTAGACAGTCAAGAGGCAATTTATTTAAAGGTTGGTGGCTGCACAGATTCCCCTGCAAAATCCATTAGCCAGAAACTATGATCTGAATCCAGTACAGGTTTAGGTTTGAACCGTTCCTTTGTTCCAGGTCCACCCACCGTCTTTCCAGCCTCGAAAACATACAGTCAGACCTCCAGGGTTGCGATGGAAAAAACTTGGCTAACTGGCCATCGCTGCCCGTGCTTCAATGGCATAATGGTTGCATCACTCTCAAAGCTTTACATGCTGCCCATGCTTTGTGGCCTCAAAGCTTTGGAGCCTTTAGAGTTGAAGCCACTTTCATTTTTTTAGATCACTCTCAGTCTCCTGCAGGACTATATGCCAGAGAATGTCAGGGACGAGGAACTGTGCCTGCGCGAGATGCCAGGGGTTGAGGTTCTCAGCCAGATCCGCAGCATGGGCTCTCAGGACCGGAGTGAAGCCTTTGGAAAACAAACAACATCAAACAACAACAAATTCAATGTTTGACTGTTTTGACTTCAAACGATTTTGAAATATTTCCTTTGAAGGACCTTTTTGGAGAGGCCCTACCACAAGCCCTGCCCGAGGCGCCTCTGTTTGAGATGGAGCCAATTCCATTCACAAGCGTTGATTTCCACAATCCACCTCACCTGAGCAAAATCATGCCAGGTATTATCTTTGCCGCCCATGGGCGGTGAAGAGGGTTTCATGAAGGACAGTGGCTCTTGATGCGTGAGTAGTTGATAACAAAATGAATACTATTATATACTATTATGTAAGGATTTATCAATGATAGTTATTTAGTGTTTCTTACCTGTGACCTGGACACCACCCAAAAATACCAATAGCATCTGAAGAAGATATTCTGTCACTTGGAAGCCATGCAGCCATTCACCGCTGCTTATCTCGCTTGCCAGGAGAGTCCAGAACGAGCACCTACGGAGGAGCCTATGGAGGGCATCCATGCAAAGCCCCGCGAAGCGAAGGAACGGATGTGTTTTTTGTTCACGGTTCCTGCATGTTTGAACCTCTTACTCTGAACATGTTTCCTTCCAACCTAGAGGAATCCAGTGATTCTACATTGTGTATGACTGGTGGTCAGCCTGCTATTGAGCGCTTCAAGCAAAAGGCACCGGTACTTGCCTTGGCAATGAATTTGTAGTTTCTTTCTTGCAAAGAATTTTGCATTATGAACTGTTGGAACAAAATGATTGTTCTGTCAGGAAATGAACAGTCCGTCTCATGGAATTTGGAATCGCACTCAAGAGACTGCCTTGTCTCCGAAGGTTTCCTACTTAGTCTTAAACAAGATTTCCTGTCAGGATTATTTCAAACCCAGCCTTCAACTTTCTAGACCTGCAAGGTTTGCAAACCTCCTCCATCTCCTGCGATGACCATTGACTCTGATCTGCCTGGTTCACAAGCCGGCGCGTCCTTTCCTAAGCGCTTGCGCGTCTTGAGTGTTTTAGTTTGTAGATGTATTCCTCTATGTCATGTCCTTCATTGTCCTTCACTTGGTACTTGTTTGCCAGTAAGGTTGACAAGACAAGGGCAACGTGCAACAGCAGCAAAAAGCAAGGCACAGCGCGCACGCCCCAAGCTGTCTCCACCAGAGCCCACCAAGGTGAGCCCGAAGGCTAAGCCTTCTGCGCGCGTGAACAAGGTAAGCCCCAAGGCAAAAGCCTCTCCGAAGCGGCCATCTCCCAAAGCAAAGGCTTCCCCAAAAGGATCTCCCAAAGCAAAGGCTTCCCCAAAAGGATCTAGCAAAGCAAAGGCTTCAGGGAAACGAGAGAAGACCAGTCCCAAGGCCAAGGCAACTGGAAAGAGGATCCGGAAACCCAAAGCTGACGCCACAACAAAAGCACCCAAGGCTCTCAAGGACAGTTGGAACAACCGCTACAGCAGAGCTTACCATCAAGCAAAGCGTGCAGGTTGCGACAAGAAAGAGGTGGGGTCTTTGGATCTTGACACGCTCTCACCTTAAATATCTTCTTGCCCGACAGGCTGCATGTCGTGCCAGAGAAGCTGCTTCTGCTGGCGGTGGCTAAGCTTCTGGCAATGCACCGGGCGATTGGCATCGCTGTTTGAGCATGAAAAAAATTGCCGCGGCCGGCGGCTTGCAGGGTGGAAAGGGAGAAAACTTGCAGTGTGCACTAAGAAGTACTCTTTAAGCACTATGACAACTGTGAGTTTTTAAGAAATGACCATTCAGAAATTGAGTTCTAGTTGTTGCTGGGTAGAGTTCTGGTTCACATGGCTCACACTTATATATAGTTATATAATATTTATACATGGATCCACCATTGATAGGCCTCCAAAACCCCCACCCCAAATGGATCTTCTCAGGTTTGTCCGACACTTCCGGCCCCGACCTGGCGACCTGCTTCGATCCCAGGCGCAGCGACCTCGGCATCATGAGAGCCGTGTGTGATGGGCAGCGGCCATCGATGGACGACCATGCGGAGACGGACTTGGACCTGATCATCCAGGAAGCGCGGCTTCCGCGAGAGTGGCGCGGACACGGGTTGCACGACATGAACCGAGCGACAACATGCGAACAGAGAGTCGTTGGGAAAGCCGAGAGAAAGGAGCGTTCAGCCGGCCGAAGAACGTATCGAGCTCACACGATGTAAAGCTCAGAACCCCAGGACCTCCAACAGAGGTTGAATGACCCGAACTTGACGGGTCCTATTTACGGTCACTTAACCTGTCTTGGTTCCCAGTGACCGAAACGACCCTGGAGTGCCATCGACCGAACGTATCCCGGCCACTGGTGACCGAACGGTGACTGAAGATCCCGGATCGAGTTCGGTCACGAAGATCTCGGTTTCTGGGGTTCTGAGGCTTTACACTGGGGTGATTTGTCCCGGTCCGATGTTGGAAGGGTTCAAACATCGAGTATACTAAAGGGAAGTATGCCCGCCCTCATGGATAGTTTTGGCATGTTTTGGTTCAAAAACACCTGTACCCCCACCGTCCCCCACGCAGCTCCTCCGGTCCCAGGACTCCTGGGCAGCCGACCCCGAAGCCCGGCCGCGCTTCGCCGCGATCTGCGAGCGCCTGAAGCTATTGCGCTTCCCCAAGAAGCTATCAACAGCAGTGCCCAGCTACTGGTCGGGCACCGGAGATCTCGAAGCTTTGGATCAAGGCGAAGTCGGAAACTTCTGAGCAGATGCTGAGAGGGATGGACGGTGCCATTAGTCCTACTATTAGTCCTGCAAATTTGAGATCAACATGAGGATTCCTGGGCACCCTCGATCATCATGTAAATCGAAATATGCGCTCATGATGCCAAGCTTGACTTGCGCTCATTCAGATCGACTCTCGGTCAGTCTTGAGAGTTTCCCCTTGCGAGGGTGGGCGGCTGAGCCCGTGTCTGAGAAGACCTTCGAAGCTTTGAAGAAGCTCTTCGTCGTGACACAGCCGGAGCAGCTGGGAAAAGGCCGAGACTGCAAAGACTATGGGCGGAAGTACAGCAACCTCCAGCTGCTTGGACGATGTCGGACATGTGGCCGGTGAACTTTTGATGTGGAATATTTTAGGAGTGTTCTATTTTGGAGAAAGACCTTTATAACTAACGAACCGGACATGCCCAAAGGGCCACTTCCAGCCAGTCCGAGCAATTGGACAGCTGTCCGCTGTCCGCTTGTCATTGTGATCAGGTGACGAAGTGGGTCCGATACACATGCTCCAAATGAGCTACGAATGGACACTTGCTTGATGACCGACCGTTTAGCAGCTATTTGATGTTCAACACGGGAAACCTACACATCCCTGAAATCATGATGGTTATAGGTGGATGGGAAATGGCCACGATTTCGGAGGACCATGGTCCCAAGAACTCACACAGGTGGTTTTCACTCACTCCACTGATTATTTGGATATTTGGGAGTGGTATATGTTTGGCAAATAATATAATGTCAAGTCACGACTATATAACAATGACTAATAAAGCTCCCATAGTTAATCCGAGCCCACAAAACCACCGGAAATTGCCCAAATTAAGCGTAGTATTGGTGTCTAATTCCCGAACCCCCCCCAGTTAATCCGAGCCCGCAACCAGGTCAATTTTTCGTATTACAACCACCACCACCACCACGACCACCACCACCACCACCAGCACCACCACCACCAGCACCACCACCAGCAACGACGACGACGATGACGACGACCTTATGAAAAAGTGGACCTCATGAATGAGATCTCATTTCTTGACCTTATTGACCTACCATGTGGGGGGGTGGCAGTTGATTAGTCAGGAGTTGACATTTCTCCATATATACAGTATATGTATGTTTTTTAAAAAATGGGAGTGGTTTTACTGCAAATCTATGCCTCCACGTATTATTTTTGGGAGCGTATTCACTTGGACTTTAAGTTGCTCTAGTGACGTTCGCTGGGCTAAGGACCGAATGAGACGGCAAAAGAACGTAAAAGATACTGCTTGGGTCAAGCCTTTCAACTTTCAACACCAATGAGATCATGGGAGACTCTGTTGGGCACGCCTGTTGGTTGGGTGTTTCAGGATAATGATGACGCCAGGTTTGGGTCCCTGGTTTGGGTCGAAATACTCTCCCGCAAACTAACATGGAACCCGAGAAGTGACCGGTGGAAGACCATTTTCCTCTACAACCCAGTGGTTTTGGGGGGTCTATGTCAATCCACCACTACACCTACCACCTACCACCTACTACCTACTGCATGATTGATGAAATCCTAAAAAGCGTCTAGGGCTCAGGGACTATAAATTGCCTTACTAAAAAAACTAGACGACGAGTGGCCCGAAAGCATTTTTCATCACGTAGGAAGTCAGAGTGTGAGTTATCTGTTAAGTGTTCAGTATGAAGTGTTGAGGCAGTGTGTGGGTCTCTGTGTGTGTATCTATGTCTGTGTGTGTATGAGTCTCTATCTGTGTGTGTGTCCGAGTAAGTTGAGGCAGTGCGTGGGTCTCTGTCTGTGTGTGTGTGTCAACTTCTCAAAAGAGCCGGGTGGTCGGGAGACATGACTCAGCTGCAGGGGCGCCAGAGCAGCCGCGAAAGATGACTCAGCCGCGAGAGATGACCCATCCGCGTACTAAATTGTTGTATTACAAAGTCGCCAGTTCTCAGCTTCCAGCTCCACAGATTGCTCCGCATACTAAAGTTGCACTACAAAGTCGCCAGTTCTCATCTTCCAGCTCCCCAAATACTCCGCGTACTAAAGTTGTACTAGAAAGTCGCCAGTTCTCATCTTCCAGCTCTCCAAATACTCCGCGCACTAAAGTTGTACTACAAAGTCGCCAGTTCTCAGCTCCAGCTCCACAGATTGCTCCACGTATTACAGTTGTACTACAAAGTCGCCAGTTCTCATCTTCCAGCTCCCCAGATACTCCGCGTACTAAAGTTATACTACAACTTCGCCAGTGCTCATCTTCCAGCTCCCCACATATTCCGCGTACTAAAGTTATACTACAAAGTCGCCAGTTCTCAGCTTCCAGCTCCACAGATTGCTCCGCGTACTAAAGTTGTACTACAAAGTCGCCAGTTCTCATCTTCCAGCTCCCCAGATACTCCGCGTACTAAAGTTGTACTAGAAAGTCGCCAGTTCTCATCTTCCAGCTCTCCAAGATACTCCGCGTACTAAAGTTGTACTACAAAGTCGCCAGTTCTCAGCTTCCAGCTCCACAGATTGCTCCGTGTACTACAGTTGTACTAGAAAGTCGCCAGTTCTCATCTTCCAGCTCCCCAGATACTCCGCATACTAAAGTTGTACTACAACTTCGCCAGTTCTCATCTTCCAGCTCCCCACATACTCCGCGTACTAAAGTTGTACTACAAAGTCGCCAGTTCTCAGCTTCCAGCTCCACAGATTGCTCCGCGTACTAAAGTTGTACTAGAAATTCGCCAGTTCTCATCTTCCAGCTCCCCAGAGACTCCGCGCACTAAAGTTGTACTACAAAGTCGCCAGTTCTCATCTTCCAGCTTTCCAGATACTCCGCGTGCTAAAGTTGTACTACAAAGTCGCCAGTTCTCTGGCTCCACAGATTGCTTCGCGTACTAAAGTTACTGAAGTTGTACTACAAAGTCGCCAGTTCTCATCTTCCAGCTTTCCAGATACTCCGCGTACTGAAGTTGTACTACAAAGTCGCCAGTTCTCTGCTTCCAGCTCCACAGATTGCTCCGCGTACTAAAGTTACTAAAGTTGTACTACAAAGTCGCCAGTTCTCATCTTCCAGCTCCCCAGATACTCCGCATACTAAAGTCGCACTAGAAAGTCGCCAGTGCCTGCATTTCGCGCACGACACGCACGATCTCCGCAGAGGGTTGCGCGCGCACAGACCCAATCGCACTCTCGCCTGAATTTCGCGCACTCGACACGCACGATCTCCGCAGAGAGTTGCGCGCACATACGCCAAATCGCACTCTCGCCTGCATTTCGCGCACTCGACACGCACGACCT